ACCAGGATGCAAATTCCCTGCATGCTTTGGATGATGTGGAGATATCGTCACATGATGCCACATACGGACGGGTGGAGATACGGTTGGATGACTTGGAGTCTGGCGTAGAAACCGAGAAGTGGTGGACCATATTGGATGAACGGGATCAGTCGGTTGGCGAGATGCTGATGAGAGCTCGGATGGAAGAGACGGTCGTTCTGATGTCGCATGAATACACGCCCATGTCCGAGATCCTGCATGCCTTTACCAATGGGCTTACAATAAACATGGCTCAGATCATTTCCTCCGAACTCAACCAACTCTCAGAGGCTCTACTCAATATTTATCAAGTCTCGGGGCAGACGGTCGAATGGATTTCCGCTCTGGTTGAAGACGAGATCGATGGCGTTCACAAAGACTCGACTGCGAATAGACTCAGGTATACTACAAGAATCCATTCAAATGACTCAAGGGAATCAGGTCAGGACCGAGAAGTCCTTGTCAGGGACATGGGCCGAACGGCGACCGTGGAGGCGAATCTTCTGTTCCGGGGGAACTCCCTTCTCACCAAGGCGCTGGACTTGCATATGCGTCGGCTCGGGAAGGAATACCTTGAAGAGACCATCGGAGAACGGCTGCGCGAGATTGACGAGAGCGATCCTGAATGTGAAGTTGACCCTTCGCGAGTCCATCGTTCAGACGACCTGGAACGCAACTGGAGGACCCTCGTCTCGCTTACCACAAGTGTTTGGAAGTCAATTGCTGGCTCCGCTTCTCGCTGTCCTGCAGAGTTGAGACTCATATTTAGGCATATCAGAGCTTGTGCAGAAGACCGCTACGGCGACTTCCTGCGAACGGTGACATACAGTAGCGTCTCAGGTTTCCTGTTCCTGCGATTCTTCTGTCCAGCAATCCTGAATCCAAAACTCTTTGGATTGTTGAAAGGTAAGAGGCCTTGTCTCTCCGTTTCTCTTACTTTTGTTCTTTCCCGCTAATCCTAGCAGATCACCCTCGCCCTCGTGCTCAACGAACGTTGACATTGATCGCCAAAGCCTTGCAAGGCCTTGCGAACATGACGACGTTTGGTAGTAAAGAGCCGTGGATGGAACCGATGAACAAGTTCTTGCTTGGCAACCGGGCCGAATTCAAGCAGTTCGTTGACTCGATTTGCGCGATTCCTGCTGACCGTCCTACCCCTATTGTCACGCCATCTTATGCGACGCCGATTCAAATTCTTAACCGGCTGCCCCCTACCTCTCGCGAGGGCTTCCCTAGTCTCCCGTTCTTGATTGACCACGCAAGGAGCTTCGCGAACTTGATAAGGATCTGGCTTGAAGCAGCCCCGGGAAGGCTTGCTGAGCTGGAAGAGGTCGATCCGGCCCTTGAAAAGTTCCACGAGATGGCGCTTCGTCTCCACCAACGTACCAAAGAGTGCCTTAGTAAAGCGGAACAGGCAGAACGCCCGAATGGCAATCTCGAAGTCAAATGGGAGGAACTGGTGGATTCCATGGAACGATCAGCGACTTTCTATGGAGACAGCTCCAAGCCGACGACACCGGCGACAGAAACGGCGATTGCAACGCCAGCATCCGTTCCTGGCAGTCACAGGAACTCGATTGGCTACTTCGCTTCACGGCCTTCGCTGCCTCGCCGGTCCACAGATTATGGTCCAGACGCTGAGGAGGAGACTCCTCCTAGCTCTTCGTCAGCTACCTGGGACCAGAGTCGTGTGCCCTTTTCCATGCCCCGCTGGTCGGACACTCGAGACAGCACCGGCAGCTCAAAGAACTCTTCCACCTACTCTCTTGAATATTCTGACCCTTCCAAGGCGCGCAGATCTAGCATGACGAAAGAGACGTCAAGCAAGTATCGGTTCTTTGACTTTGTACCGGCCTCGTCAAGACGCAAGGCCAAAGACCGTGAAAGTACTCAACAACACTCGCGCGAAGAACTACGGAACGAGTTTTGACGTACGAGTCTCTACGAGCCTATCTACTTCCTGGTCAGATCATATCCGACGCGTTAAACGGTCATGATCTAAATATAGAGCATGATATTTTTCCAGTGTTAATCGGCTGATATCATATCAAGCCTGGCTCGCACTCTCAGCCTGCTCTTTGTTATACCCGGAGCGAGACTTCTCGTCCTCCATAATGAACGGGACATGTATGACTCCTAGAGGGAAAATGCAGTTGAGAGAAGACTTTCTGTTGTATAACAAGGAAGGCCTCCTGTGAGCAAAATTTTGCATCATCTGGTGTATATTCTACCTCATTCCGGCGATTGATCCCATGTGTTGATGATTTGACGTTCTGCCCCTTCTTGGATTTCTCTTCCTTTCTACCCTGCTCATTCTCCTTGAATAGCATTTGTCACGGTGTTGATACCCTGCTTTGATAGCTGCTTTTCTGGCTGGAAAATGTCAGCATGGCCTTTCGTCTCGTACACGCCGCTATGGACGGAAGGATTTCGCTGAACTTTTTCATGGTCCAAAAACAGTTCGTGTTCCTTTGTGTACATAACATTTGGCCTTTGCATAGATGAAATAACTACTATCCATCCATTAGTTCCTTCTGCCTTGCATGGCTCGACCCGACGGTCTGTGTTGACCCAGGTAATAGATTTCGAACAATGTAGTGTATGGATTGTAGAAGAGTGAAGGGATCAATTTGTCTTTCGAGATTGAATCATGTTCAACTCCCATCGCTCAGATACGCTTATCAAGGAGATACTTGCAAGTAGATATACACCTTAAAGCACGGCCACGCAAAAAGCCTAAACTACAATGCCAAACTATTATGCGCAACGGCTACATCGGTCCGTCGCCATCTTCCGAAGTGACCTCACATCCACAGACATATCTTACCGCTGGCAGTACCGCCTGCGATCCAGTTCATGCTGCGGTGGAAGACCGCCACAGCAGGAACGGCGGTGATACCGTCGCCTCCTAACTGAGCGAGCTGGTCACCGGAGCTACTGTACACATCGACGAAACGGTTCATGTTTCCGATGCAGAAGCGCTGGATAGGGGATTGCGGGTTTGCTTGCCACTGGGGACGGAGGCTGCGAGACATCTTGTGTTAGTTTTTGCAATGAAAGGGCTTGAAGGTGGTAGGACGGGGAAAGAATTACATGGTCACCCATCGTCCTGTCTGGCAATTGTGGCGGACGACAGTGTCGGGTTTCATTTCGGCGTCTGAGAGTGTGTGCCCTGGTTTCCAGGTTGCGATGCTCTTGGATCCAAAATCGTAGATCTTGAGCGTGTCGTCGTAGGAGGATGTCGCGATCTGGCCTGCGCTGTTGAATGCGGCGTGGGAGACCGACAGCCGGCTGACGTGCTCGCCTACCGGGACAGGTTCATCGTGGGAGAGTTTGCGTATATCCCAGAGACGCATGGTGCGGTCGAGAGAGGCGGTTGCGAAGTAGTGCGGGTGGGTTGGGAAGAGCGAGAAGCCGCCGATTTTCTTCTCGGAGAGTTGCCAGGTGGCTACGGCGCTTCTGCGCGAGGCGCGGGTGTCGTAGCGGCCGAAGGCGCCGTCTAGGGTTGTCCAGTAGAGGGTGTTGGGGTCATCGGCTGCCATGTCAATGCCGGATATGGGGATGTCGTCTGAGGTTGACTCTGGAGCGTATTTTTCGACAGAGGTGGTCTTTTCCAGGTCCAGCTCGCGGATGGAGCTATCGTAGCTGGCGCTGTAGAGGTGGGTTGGCTTGGAGGGGTGGACGTGCATGGAGCTGATGGTTCGTGTGTGTGGTTTGAGAGTGGTCAGGACTGGATCTGGGTCGTCGTCCTCTGCGTCTTCGTCGTCTTCCTGCTTGACGGCTGAGATTGGCTTCTCTTGCGAGGCGTCTAGGACACCGAGGTTGCCCATCTTGTCTCCGGCGAAGATCAAGGGCTTGGCTTCTGATGGGTGGAAGGTCATCGTGTAGACTCGTTCGGGGGTGAGCTTGATGCCTGTGATACGGTCATGTTAATATTTCTAGCCACAGCATGTCGCAGTTCACACAGGAGGCCAACGCACGATTAGGTTCCCATGCCCCCCACAGCCGCAACCCGCTCATTTCCTCCCTCAGCGCCTTCAGCTCCTTATCTGTCGTCTTCTTGATATCCTCATCACCAAAAGTCCGCTGATACGGCATCGCAACTCCCTTCGTCACCACGTCCACCCCGATTAGACTATCACCGCTGAGCTTCTGCCCCGACACAAGCATCTCACTGAAAGAGAACGCATCCGACTTGCGCACTCTCTTCGCACGCTCCGCCTGCTGCGCAGCCTCGTACTGCTCCTCCGCCTTGCGTTTCGCAACCTCGCTATCCGCCGCGAGCCCTCTCAACCGCGAGGACATACGCCGCGGTACTGGGTCCTCATCTTCCTTCTTGACCTTCTTCGGCGGAGGCTTCTTCTTCGGCTTCGTTTGACCCCCTGGTGAGCTTCTCGCTAATTTGGGTGGGAAGAGGCCGGACGACTGGGCGTCCTGGGTCAGCTTCTTAAGGAGCGCATCACGCTCCGCGATATTCGCGAGACGCTGCTTTTCGAATTCGGAGAGCTCATTATCGGCGCCCATGATAGTAACTGTCTTGCGAGCGCTTAAGCGTCCGCTGTCTATACCAATGCCTTGACAATCGAAGGAGTGGTGTAGATTCAGTTTCTGCGTCGTAGACCAAAGCCGCGCTTCTGCCTGGGAAAACGCGTGTTGCAATGTCGCGCTGTCACGTGATATAATGGGATGCGATGAATGAGGTAGAACAAATGATTCAGTGCGGTTATTCTTTCTTGTTTTCATGTGGGAAATATACTCATAGGAAAAGGATACAAATAAATAATAACTGTTGGCGATGTCTTTTGTATAATAAGCGTAGTTTTGCGCTACTTAATCTCGGGTCAACCTAGAGTGGTATCCGTGTGTTTTTTTTTTATTTTTTTTTTATAATTTCTCCGACTCTTTTCTCAACTGTCTACGTCAGAGTTTCGCAGACTTTCTGACGAGCCTCAACGCCTTAGTCTGCTCAGCCGTGGTGTACAATGCCGCTACGCATCTCGCGCATTTGCCTGGCGCAAGTAACCGTTAACTCCCCCGTCCCATTCCTCTACCAGACCCGGACACTCGCTGCACCGCTGAGCTATGCAAAATGGAATGCCCGACAGAGCCGATCATTTCAGTCAACATCGACTACGTTCACACCACCCGAATCAAGCCTAGGTAGTGGCGAAGAGTCTGTTCATGATAGGGAGAGCCCTGAAAATGGGACACCTCCCTTGAAATCCGATTCTTCCTCCCAGGCCCCGAGCAACGATGGCCGTCGATCCCGGAAAAGTTACCTGAAGAAGCGCGGCGCCACGGTCTCACAATCTCGGACACCACCGACACCACCCTCCTCACGACCACCAAAAAAGCCACTCACGATGACAGAGAGCGAGAAGAGGGCGTTTGGTGGTCTGCTGGAGCAGATGGGTGTGGAGGAGAAGGATGACCCGGAGGCGGCTACAGAAGAAACGGTGAAGCCGGCGCTGAGCAAAGACGAGATGTCTAAGATCTCCGATATCTTCAACTCTGTGCTTGAGGACCTCCGGAAGAAAAAGGGGGGTTCTGAAGCTTCGACGGAAGGTGCCGCAAAACGCAAGTCCCGGAGGAAGGTAGATGAGCCCGCGTCCACTTCGAAGCCGGGGCCTCAGGAGCAAGCGGGTGACTCTAATCCTCCAGAGTCGCGCAGTGATGTTCCTCGCTCTGCCGAGCTGGCTATTCAATTCACCGTGCAAAGGGAGTCGGCGAAGATCGAGCGCGCGCTCCGTGCGGCGATTGACGAGGGCAAAGGGGATACTGGGATCTGGGAAGTGTGCAAAGAGAGAGTATTTTCGATGCTACGATATCTCGGAGATAGCCGGGTCCCGGAAGACAATGGCACGTCGCCGACAAGCTCAGGGGGCAAGCCAACACCCCACAGCCCTCTGGAGGTTCCTGAATCCGTGTCCGTGGAAGCAGTGGTCACAGAACTCTACCCGAAGATGCTCCTCGTGGCATTCCGTCTTCTAAACTCGCATTTCCCCGGCTCGCCCTTGATCGGTCAGTTCCGCTCGACGATCAGGTCGCATGGCAGGACCTCAGCGGTGCTGGGGAGTTCGACGGGTCTATATAACGAGCTGATCTACTTCTACTGGCGCGGGTGCAGTGATCTCCCTAGTGTTGTGTCGTTGCTGAAGGAAATGGAGACTACAGGGGTGGAGCCGGATGAGCGAACCTGCGGGCTGCTCAAGGCTATCGCCGATCAGCGGGAGCGGGACCTCAAAAGTCATCGGAAACAGGTGCGTCGCGAGGATCAAAATCGGGGTTCGCTCCGTGATCCGTGGTGGGATATGGCGCCCAATCGCACAGCTGTGAAGGAGTTGTTTGGGGAGAATGGGTGGTTGCCGCGACTGGAGAAGCGTGTGGAGGAGATTCGAAACCTACAGAGCTCGACGAGATTGCTTGCAGATAGGCTTAATATGTAGCGGTAAATACAGTCCTACCGCCGGAGGCAGCTGAAAGGAGGTGTATATTATACAATACCGGAACTCTACATCAGAATATGAATACAATATCTACTCCACCTATATTCCTCATCTCAGTGCAGCCTGTACCGCATCAGACTAGATCTTCAATCCCCAACTCCTTCCCAACCCAACAGCAGTGGAACCCATGAAGCCCAGGCACTGCTTGATACCGGTAATCTTATCACCGATATACTTGTTATCCTCGATGCGACGGTCCACAAACGCCTGCGTAGCGGAGAGATCCGGACTCGAGTCGCGGGTCATAACAACCTCGGCACTGGCATAGATGGCCGAGATCGACAGCCGTTTTGTATACCACGAAGCATCGACTGAGGCGTCTCCAGCAAGATCCAAAATATCAGAGGACAGTGCATGCAGCTCGGAGAGCGAGAGCGGGATATTTCCGGCGAGGGACATGAGAGCCAGCGCCTGGAAAATAGAAGTAATAATCAGCACCATTCAAATGTATGCAATGGCAAGACACAAAAGCAGAACTTACCCCCTGCCACTGATGTTTAATCTCCGCATTCATCCGCAAGCGCTCCATGATGAGCAACTTGGTCTTCTCCTCGACAGACAACGTCTTCCCCTGGGACTCGATTTTCTCAAAGAACCCGTTCTCGACTTTCCCTCGCAAAAGGCCGCGCCGACTCGCCAGCCAGAAAAGGACGAGATCGAACTCGCCGCGTGGGAGCAGCTGGACCGAGACATCGAGGAAGCCTGCGTCGCGGGCGCCGAGGGTTAGAGCTTCGGGTGTGAAGCCGTGCTTGGGGACATGGTTGAGCGCGGCGGAGAGAATGGTGGTTTGTGAGTTTGTGTATTCGTGGGGGGGTAGCTCGGGGTGGTACTGCGAGTGGTAGGATCTTTTAGCGATACATTGCTGCGGTCGTGAGAAATGGATCTGTTGATGGATGAGACGGCGCGATGAGCGTTGAGTCTGGTATAGACGGCGGGCTCGCAGGGCGATGTAGGAGGAGCGGTTGGTGCCAGAAGAGAGGGTAATAGAGGACGAGATAAGGGCGTTGATTTGTCTTCGGGAGCAGCGAGCAAGGGAGACTGGCTGGGCCATTGCTACTGATCGTAGAGAGTACTGTAATTTTCGAGGAGTTTCCTCTTGTTAGTGGTTTTCTCAAAGTGCAGTTGGGAAAGTTACTAGTGGCTTGATGAACAGGATGGAACGTCGGGCCAGCCGGAGAAGGAATCTCGGTATAAGCGGTGGTCTGAGCTGAGCCAAGCTGATCTTCCTGTCATGAATTCATTCTTCACCAATTCAACAGGCAGTCCGGGTCGCAGCAATTAGAAACGGTGTTATGCTTTATCTTGACTGCTGATAATGGATCATTTCAGTCGATGGTGACTGAACGGAAGTGGTCTAGTATATGGGCTTGCATTGTATGGGTACTTCATCTATATATTTCTTCCTTCCCTAAGGCTGTCTCAGTATATACATTGTCCAAGAGCAGTACAGGTTTGACCATGGTTAGAAATTCTCCATATGACAACACACCTATATACATCTAGAAAGATAGGGTGATCAGGCCTGGTCATCCACAGCAGTATGCTGCAGCGTCAACTACTCCAAATTATATCACATTTGGTAGGCCATTATATTTGATCGATGGTTGGCTGGTTGTTAAGGAGGCTGAGAACAGTGATCATTACTAGTAGTAGCTCTCTCGTGGTGTAGCTATTATCTTTCGGGATCAACATAATTACCTGACAGTTTGATGAACATAGAATTGAAAATGAATAGTAGAGTAGTCAATATCAATAGTATCATGGGATAAACTAGTGTCGACTATTGCGTACTCCGTAGGTACATAACCCCAGGTGCGTGGCCATTATTGGACTCATCCACTTTTTCCGCTTCCGCACCTGCTCAGCGCTTCTTTCCACTCCTCGTCAAAACAATCGATCCTTCTATCAAAAAGTTAAAAGTCTTGACTATTGAGTATTGGGAGAATCCATCTTCCTTCACAATTCAGATATCTTGAATCGCTGGCAGATACTCTGTATACCGGCAAGAGTTGCATGAACGCTGCTTGACCTCAACAGTCCCAATCAGCGTCCCTGTCATCGGCCTGTTGTTTTCTTTTTCCCCCCATTAGTATCTATCCCCCCCTCGATCCCCTCTGATACTATCATCTCTTATTACTCTAGTCCTCTCCCTACTTATCGTTCATTTGCTACTCACTTCCCCAGGTCTGAGAGCCCATTCGCTCTTAAATCCACAGCCTGGACGGACACCAAGCAGGACAGACCAGACAGACCTTCAACTCGGGAGGATTCAGATTCCAGACCATCCCATCCCATCTGATTGTCATCGTCAATTGTCACATCGCATCTCACAGCTACCAACAATAACACAACATCATGGGTGAGTGATCGTCTACATCTTTCTTCGTTTGTTTTCTTTTCTTTTTCAAGTCTTCCTCAGCATTATCAATCATCACCACCACAACCACAACAACACGTATCCCTCTGTATCCAGGGTACCTCCATTGCGTCTCCCCTCAATTTCTCCTCCATACAAGTTGTTTTTGCTACCTTACAGAGCAACCATTAGCCTTGTGTTGCTCTGCTGAACAATCACCTCCACCTTTTCCCTTCTGTCAACCCCCCTGTCTTGGCCTCCTCCAAAGCTACTCTCAGTCCAATCACTATTCGACGTTCTGCACATACCATCGGCTTGACACTTGACATTCAGCATTCAACACAAACTATCTACTTTGTACCTTAGTTTTCCCTCCCACCCTCCGTCTCTTCTTCCCCCCCAACCCAAAAATCATCCACTACCATCGTACTACTGTACCTACTACTGTAGGAACCATCACCTTTCACACCCCCTCTTCCATCCGTTTATCCACCCGCTTCATCCCTTCATCAGTCCATCCAATCTTTGGCCCCTCACTCCGTCAGAAATTCCTATCCCCCAACATTCCCGGAACTCTACCGCGCTGTCAATACCAGGTAAGAGCCATCCACGGGCTACTCGTTGTCCGCGAGCGAATCATCCTGGTTGAGAGAGCGCTGCTGCGTCCCTTCGGATCCCCACGGGATTCCAATCAATCGTTCCCATCCCTCTCTCCCTCCCTGACACTTCCGATGATCTGACAGATATACATGCACACGCACACACACAAAGTGGTTGACAAAGTGTGATTGATTTTACTTTCCGTCTTCACCCACTATTTACTCTCACACACTCATCGTTCTCGCTTCCTTTTGATCGTTTCGTTCCTCCTTCCTTTTACCCTTCTCCACCTCCCTGGCTCTTGCTTGATTGTCTTCGCTCTTCCTATTTCCGATCGCGTTGATACTGGACTTCTGGCTTACATTAAGTGCTCTTCTCCAGCCGACGTTTATCGACCATACCAAGTAAGTCATCTGCTTTACTGTCGTGCTCGTGTCTAGTGTACATTGTACAGTACATCACCTGCCATCAGACTGTCACTCCCAAATGTGCTTGAACCGAAAGCATTCTTCCCTTGTTCAGAAATGAGTTTCCTATGCCTTCATAGTTCCTATTTCCTGGGGCTGATGGCGCGCGGCTGATGATGCCGGGTACCCACTGTCCCTATGGGCTGCATGTAACACACTGCCGACGTCTCGTTTGCACTCAGCACCATGTTATTTGTCTTGGAATTTCCTCTACCTTGATTGTCTCAATTTTGTCCTTCACTTCCGCGATAAAAAAAAAGGTTTCTTTTCTGTGTGCCCTTCTCCCCGGGTCCTCAACTCTCTGAGATCTGCGCGTTGTCGCGCAGGCGGTGTCACCTGATCTCCCATTCTGCCGGTTCTCAGCGCTAGCGCTGGGGTTTCCTCGAACTCGGGAAGGACAGTTTCAGACCCATTATTGGAACCCGCCCCCCCTTGAGACGTTGCATTCCCGTCATTTCCTAGCCTCTCATTTCAGTCATACCCCTTTCGCTACTCGCGCTTCTTATCCATTTCTGTTTTTTTTTTTTACTTTTACCGGGCTCGGTCCAAACTCGTCGATGCCTTCCGACTCTTTTGACACTGACTACGCGCAGCGCGAGAGGTCTCGCTCGCCCCGCCGACGTTCTCGCAGTCCTCGACGAAGCCGTCGCTCGTACTCCCCACGCAGTCGCTCTCGCAGTCGTGACGATTATCGCCGCAGTGATCGCCGGTCTCGGTCTCCTATGAGTACTGCTCAAGGCGCAACTGGAGGACATTCAGGATCTGGTTACGGTGGCCGCAGCAGTTACCCTCCTTCGAGATCTTTTGAGGACCGCTCAGTCGCCAAAGAACAAATGATGCAATCAGTACGCGAGTCGTCCCAACAGGACCGCCGGGTCTATGTGGGCAACCTATCCTACGATGTCAAGTGGCATCATCTCAAGGACTTTATGAGACAGGGTGAGCAGGGTCATATCGTGTCGGCAGTGCGACGCAGTTTTTGTTGGATGAAAACTTGTGGCTGACTTTGGGGGGAATGATTTTCCGCATCGTTCGTACAGCTGGAGAAGTTATCTTTGCCGACGTCTTACTACTTCCCAACGGAATGTCGAAGGTGGGCACCAATGCGTAGCGTGGCTGGCTTTTTCTTTTTCTTTCTTTCTTTTCACTTCTGGATTTCCTTGGTTTCTTGCATGGACGAATTGGGTTGACGGGCTGGGCCTGGCCGTCCGGACATTGTAGGGATGCGGGTGAGTGTTTCCTGCTCTCTTTACCTCTTGAGCTCTGCGCTAACAATATGTTGCAGGATTGTGGAATACGCTACAAGGGAGCAAGCGCAGAATGCAGTCAACACGCTTAGCAACCAGAACCTCATGGGTCGTCTTGTCTACGTTCGCGAGGTACGTCCGCGGCGCGATGTGTGCGCATCTCTCGCCCATTGTGTACGCTAACAAAAATTGACTAGGACCGTGAGCCTGAGCCACGCTTCACTGGTGGACCTCCCCGAGGAGACTTTGGAGGTCCTGGTCGAGGTGGCT